CTCAAAAACCTTGACTCGTTTATCGCTTGTCGGTCTTATGCAAAAYTTTTCTGTGTCGACTTCTAAACCTAAAAATTTACAAGTCTGCTTCGGGCTCAAATTACTTTTCTCATAGTTTATAAGGAAACCAAGACTTTTAAGTAACGCGATYGTTTGAATCGTATTCTCTCGACAACWAGCTTTATCTTTTCCTATGCACAAGAAATCATCTAAATAAACAACCGACTTTAAACCTTTTGACCTAAGATAATTCACAACCGGTTTCATTACTTTAGTAAATACAAAGGGACTTGTCGATAAGCCGAAAGGGAGGACAACAAACTCGTAAATTTTTCCTTCGAATGTARAGCGTAAAAATTTTCGACTGTCTTCATAARCGGGGATGCATAAATATGCATCTTCTAAATCCAAATTACACATAAAGTCACCCGGGCARATGATCTTACTGACAGTTCTCATATCTTCCAATTTGAAGTGCGTTGTATCTATAAAAAAATTAAGTTTTTTCAAGTTGAGTATGAATCGGTGTGAACCATCGGGTTTTGGAACCGTAAAATAGGAAGACAGAAAATGCCCCTCAATAGGGTCACATTGTTTAATTGCTTGTTTGTTGATTAACTTTAAGATCGCTTCTTTAACCTTACATGAGTCTTGTTCAGAAAACAATGGCTCTACTGGAGGTCAAGTTTGCACGACCTGCCTTGCAAACTTGATCTTGTATCCCTCTACACACTCAAGGACAAATTTGTCCTTGGTTAACTTGAGCCATTGATTTTTGAACCAGCGCAGTCGACCTCCTGTCTGATGTACCTCTACTTYGGTGTCGTCCCYGTCTTCTGATTCTTCCGTTGAGTCTGGTTCTGAAACYGCCTGTGGGCGAAGGGTGCCTTTCCGGACCTGGAAAACTGCTGTCTCGCCTGTCCGTATGTATTGAAACTCTTTTTGGCCCAGGTGAACGGCYGACGTGCCTGGGCATTGACCCAGTTATTTGTCGTGAACGGTGCCTTCTTGACAGCTGGCTGTGGCTGAGTCTTCATAGTGTTTCCCACTCCGGTGATCGTCCTTGCCTCTTTGATTTTTGCTCCAAGCTCCGGCCCATACAGAAACTTGTCTGTCTTGGTGTTATTCAGGACGTCCTTGACTTGTTTGGTAAGTCCCGGTTCGATGAACACTTTTCTYGCCGTGGTTTGTTTATGGAAAAGTCCAGCMATCAGTTTTCCAGCCTCAAACATCCTTTCAATCATCACCGCTCTGTCCGGTGRTTCCTGCGGCTCGTTGATAATCATGGAAATTGCTGAGCCCAACGCGATCATCGCGCTAGCTATCATTTTTTGGTTTTC